TAGTTATTTCCAAAGCATTCTAAAGAATATGGTGTCATCTAGTGATTTCAATACAAATAGCCGAAAATTGCTTAAGGTAGTTTATGTCTCAAGGTTTTGTTAAGATTACTCAAGATATGTTTACTGCACGTGGTGGACCGCCGACAATCAAGGAAGGCCACGTCATTACCACATAGAAGGAATATGTACAAAAATGGACTGAGTACTTCCAAGAAATCCTTAATCTACCAAATTCACCTTATCTGATAAATATCTGCGAATAATGTTAGCACATACCGGAAATTATAGACACCAGAGTGGAACCGATCATCTCTGGCGAAGGGAAATAGGCCATATCTCTATAACATAACAAATCTGCTAGTGAGGAGCACATAACAGGAGAAATGTAACGGACATACTAGGAGTAGTGAAACTCGTCAACCATGTGTGGAACAACAAAGAGGAAAAATGTGATAATCATGAAGACCCAATAGAAAAAGATGACCTCGCAGAATGTAACAACTGGTGAGTCATCTCATTGCTTTGAATAATGAAAACTCTGCAGACTCAACCAAGCTGTATATAATATCTTAGAAGAACAAGAAGGTTTCTGACCGGGTTACTTATGGAAATCAAGTCTTTACTTTCAGAGTAATCATTGAAAAATATACTGAATGTGAAGGTCCACTAATATTTAAACTTCATTGACTTCAATAATACTTTTCACAGCCTACACATTGGCACATCCTACAATGTTATGGCATCTCACACAAATTAAGGAACATCACCAAAGCTTTTTTTTTCATAGCTGTAACTGTGCAGCACACGTGAATTTGAGTATACGTTTCAATCTCGAAAGCGGTGTCAGAAAGAGATAATTTTTTTCACCTCTACTATTTCATATTGCTCTAGACCAGTGGTTCCCAACCTTTTTCAATGCTGGCACCCCCTTGAGATTTTGAAATGCCATCACGCACCCCAGAGTTAAAGGCAAAAAATTATTTTTTTTTCAGGTCAAATTATTAAGTACTAATTAATGAGCATTTTTAATTAACACAAATTTTCAAAAAGAAGAAAAACACTTATTTTGCCAGAAAAGAAAACATATTATCATGAGTCAGAAAAAATTATATGTATGTGTCCGTGTGTGTGTGTGTGTGTGAATTTGCCAAAAAAGAAAACACGTTATCATGAGTCAGAAAAAATTATTTTCACACAAATTAGATGTACGTAGTATCGAAAACTCATATCAAATCCTATCAATGTGACATTTGTTCTTGTTTCTTCGCAATTATATCTGGAATACGGGGTTCCATTTTGCTGAGAGCGATGCGCATGTTGTGCTGAGCATCGAGGCGATTTCGAAACTTCACATGAAGAAGAGTCGAAAACCCAACTTTGCAAATATATGTTGTTGCGAAGGGAACAAGTACAGTAAGTGCTTTCTTGGAAATGTTTGGGAATCTTGTTATTTGTGATGCCCACAAATTTTCTAAAGTCTTCACTTCGAACTCCATTTTTGCAGCATGATCATTTTGCATGTCAATTATTCCCTCCTTGAAAGGATCTTCGTCAGGCATATCACTTAACTGAAACAGAAACGGGTTCCTTATCCAGCGGTCGCTGGCTTCCAAATTTCCTGCAGAGAAATACCCATCAAAGTCATTTAATAGCTAGCTGTTCAAGGTGAATGCGTATTGCTGTGGCAACTTCTGGAAGTAATGACTCGTGTTCTTAAACAACTTCTTCCAGCGATGGAAACCTAGCCAAATTTCCCTTCTCAATATTTCTCAACCACAAAGGAATTTTAGCTTTGAAGGAAGCCAATTTTTCATGTGCAATAACCACGTTTTTATTATTTCCTTGGAGGGAAATATTTAGTTCATATAAGTGAGTAAATATGTCGGTCAAGAATGCTAGCATTTGCACAAGCTCTGGGGAATCAAATGAAGAAAAGAGATCCAACTTTTGATCCTTTAAAAATGTCTTGATCTCCTCACGAAGCTCAAATATACGCTGCAAGACACGTCCACGGATTAGCCATTTCACGTCCGTGTGGTACAGTAGAACCGTGTGTTCGGAATCCATGCTTTCACAAAACGCTTGAAATAAACGATGGTTCAGTGAACGTCCTCTAATTTCCAGAAACTATGGTTATCAAAAACATGCAGTATACGCAAACACCTACAGATGTTCAATTCAAACATTATATCTACTTTAACTTGCGAGTCTAAACGTCTGAGATCCACAAAATAAATAAAATATAAATTAATTTCCATTGAAAATAAGTCTATCTGGAAGTTTCTTTTCATTGGATAGAAAAATCTGGCTGCCAGCAAAGACCTACGACGACGGTCTCAACAACTTTATGACACTAAAGTCATCCAGAAGAGACCTGTGCTATGTCCTAAAAATGCTACGCAACCCTCCTTCAAAACAGGCTACAATATGACATTATGAATGGAACAAGAAAGAGGTCGACCCAAAGAGACCCTAAGAAGGATAATTCTAAACTCCATCGAAGAGTTGACAAAGGCTAGTGAGGACCTTCAAGAATGGTGAGGTTGAATGGAGAATTGGTTCTGATTTTAAATAACGTAGTGGCATGTAGTGAATAATATACAAGTAAAAGAAAATTGTTAAAGGTATTTCATATCACAGCGTTTTGTTACAATTACTTGTGATGTGAGTGAAAGGTTTTCTTCAGAAACAAAATATAGTTTATCATTATACAACAATAACATTTTCAATGATAAAGAATTTGTTTAATAGATGGTACTTAACATCTATGGACATTTTCACACAAATTTTGTTTGTTTGTTAAGCATAAAATTACACATGAACTATCTGTGACCTGCTCACTGCAGGTATCAAAAGCCGAATCTTAGAGGTATAAGCCCTCAGACTTACCTATAAACTACCGAGATTCTACGCAAGTCTACTTTGATGCATTCCTAACATACTTTATTGATAATAAGTAAGAGAGAACAAAAAACAGATGTAAACTGAAAAAAACTTAGAAATCTTGATATTGAAGAAACTTTTCTTCGACACATTAGTGTGTTCTCTTCGGTTTCATGTTGTCTTTTGGCAGAAAAGCTGGTCAGCTACGCCTGCGTTACCCTGGAATTTTGAATTCCCGTGCACAAGAAGTGAAGGTTTCATATACGACACACACGAACCAAACCAACAGCCAAAGAAGTTGGTAGAGGTCTAGGGTGTACCTGATCCTCCCAGGACACTTGACCAAAGAAATATCAATGAAACGACGAAGAAATTGTTTAACTTAAAATGACCTCGAAAGGTGTTAAAATTTGGCAGGCTTATGATTAAGTTACATTCGATGATTCTTTTTTCTATGTAGTTATCTATTTTGAAACAAATGTAGTTGATTTCAATCCACTTGGTGGTTAAATGGTTAATCACATCCAAATATCGTTAAATATAATTTGAGTTCAAATGGAACAGTACCGTAAGATAAAAAAACAGGTGTTTATATTACACTATGCCAACTCTGTGACAAAATTTATGTAGGTGAAACCGGAAGAAGTGTTGACAAAAGAGTTTCTGAACATTAAAAAAAGATCAAATATGGAAATACGAACAACGCCATTTTTCTTCATATGAGAGATATTCTGGCCATAAAATAAATTGGAAATCAACAAGAATTTTATTCAAAATAGATAGCTACATAAAAAGAGAATCGTCGAAAGTTGCTTTATCATAAGCCTGCCAAATTTTAACACCCTTCAGGGGCATTTAACAACTTCCCGAATTTCTGTATGCTTAAGAAAATTCAAAATTCCTTGGTCATATAGACGTTGTTGACCAGTTTTCCTGCTGGAAGACAACGAGAGACTGAAGATGGCACATGAATGTGTGGAAACTAGTTTCTTTAATTTCAAGACTTCTGACAGTTTGTTCCGTTTACTGTAGTTTATTGTTAAAATATAATTAGGGACAGCTATGTGCAGATAGCCAATTGTGTACCTTTGCACAAAAATTCTGAAAAATGTTACCAAAAGTTACTTGTAACTCTGGTTTGGCTTGAGGGATGCTTTGTTTATTTGAAGTTAAGCACAAAGCTACACAATGGGCTATCTGTGTTCTGCCCACCACGGGTATCGAAGCCCGGTTTCTAGTGTTGTAAGTCCGCAGACATACCGCTATGCTACTGGGGGGCCTTGAGGGATGTGCCTTCCTTGTTACGTGCGGATGTACTTTTTTTTATTAATATTGGTATCGGCGGCGGCATGTGCTCTGTGAGGAAAGGGTGGTGGTGGTGGAAAGTTTTGGAAACGGTAATTGGAATCAAGCAACTGGTATTCACTACTATTACACGCCACTGTACATTATTATGATAATACTTATTATTTTAGCTTTAATTGCATTTTCTTTTAGTTTTTGGTTTGTATTTGTCATATATTTTATGTTAATTTGTAATCTGGGAAGGAGGGCATGGTTTAAATTGGATGGGTAAGGCCCCTTAAGGCACCCCCCCCCCCATAGCGCCAGCCCTTACTAATATACGTCAAATTATTTTAATATTAAACATGTACTTACTATTACTTGTTCTACAGCATCGTTTTTAAGGGGAAAAGTAAGGTTTATCTATCAGATGTAGCAACCATTTATTCACGTTCGCTACAAATGGTTGAACAAGAAAACCTGATCATCAACCTATTCGTTATTGCTCTTCTTCGACAGTCGTGCTGACATTTTCTGCGCAGAGAGTTGCCCTTGTGTACGCAGTCATAAAACCTTGTAAGTTTGTCACGTTAACTTGTATAACTACAGCATATTTGGTTCTTCGTGGTATGTATCTTTATAAATAAGCTAATCAAAGATGTAGTGTTATTTATTACACTTCATTATCTTAAGTATATTTTAGATTTATAGTAATTGTTTATACACATTGTTGTACTTTTAATATCCCTAGGACCGTGTACTAATTTGTTCATTATATTTATATTGTAGTAATATAATAATTTGTACTGATTTGTACTAGGGTTAACGTTTACATTGCTTATGTCCCTAATTAGGGATCTCGTGATAAGTAAAGTTATACATGGTTAGCATGTAAAACATTTTTCGAGTTAAACTCGTCACTGACTTATGGATTTAACACCGTATTCAAACCGACCCTTTGGCGGTTAAAATGAACCGCATCCGTTCTCTGTGTTTGGACAAGGTAGGTGTTAAACTTTGTGTATTTACTAAGTTTTCATCTAAACATAGTAATATACTCCGGTTTTAAAATAATTTTCCATTCATTTACTTTGTAATTTTTATGTATTTCACAGTAACTGGCCTATCATTTTACTTATTACTGTAGCTTGGTTTGTTTTTTGTTATTTTTACATAACTAAATAACTTTCTCGTGCGAACAAATTCATTCCTAATCGTTTATCAATACAGCGAAGTAAAGAAGCAGTTGAAACCTTTGCAGTCTTGCAGATATTTGACTTGAGCTCTATAACTTATAACTAGAACTCGGCAATATTATTATCGTGTATTTTCCGTCTTCATGAACGCAATTTGTATGTTATTTAATTCGGTAAAATACGAGAATGCCAAAAGCTGTTGTTGTTTTTGTGGTTTTTCAATAGATAAGTTTCTGTACAGCGAGTTGAAAAAAAGGTTTTCCCCATATTTCAAGAAATTTTTATAGATAAACGTGGACGTGGTACCTCGTGGACTGTATAAACAACCACCGACATCTTGCAGAGAGGTAGATCGAATTAAACATTTAAGCTAACACCAACAGATACCTGCCAGATTAAATTGAATGAGCGAAAACGTTGTGCAGGTAAGAAAATATATTATGTGGTAAACTTTAGCTTCATATCTCAATGCAGTATAATGATTTTTCCAGGAAAGTAATTGTTCCTCGCAATCAAGTAATTTACTTAGAGTTAGAACAATTCAACTTGACTAGACCTACAGTTTTAATTAACATACTCTTAACTTTACTAGAAAACTATGTAGTGAGTAATAAGTCCCAAGGCCAAAACACCGTTAAATACTCACTGTTCCCACTTTAAACACCTTGTTAAAGTATCTCTTGTTTATTAGATTTTTGATTCCCATCCAATTTGACAACATGAATTGAAAAGTAGTTTCTTAATTTCAAAAATATAAGCGAACCAAAGGGGTTCAAGGCTTTCTCGGGGTCTCTCATGTTTGAATGAACACATTTCCTCGAAAATTTGTATTAACATTTAAAGAGCCGTATAAAACAAGTTAAATTGATGTTTTTGAAATATTGAAACCTGAGGCTAAGCCCCAGTACGGAGTCATAGGGATTTGACGATCTGTAAGGTGTTGGACTCGTCGGTTTACATGTAAATTGGCAAGAGCATCTAGGGAATCGTTCAAAGTGAGTATACAAGTTTGTATTTTAAATATTTTCATACGAGGGCTCATTTCTGAGGGCTCTCAGGATTGGTCGAATGAATTTAATTTGAAGTTGATAAGAAACTATGTAAAGTACCGTTCAGTTTGTGTATTTGTGGACGGCAACTATACTATCAAGACGCACAGTAGTGTGTCGTTCGGCCAAAATAACCTGTTGCAGGACACGTTGTGTGTTATTAACAGGAGTGATCCAAAGTATCGCATATTTTCAGTGGATGTGCTCTACTTGACGTACTTCACATACCAAATTTCAGGGCAATCCATTAAGAAATACTTTAAATATAGCATCTCCAATTTTGATTAATTTCTTTCTATTTTTTCTTTGCTAAAAAAAGTGTGCAGAAACTTTATTTGATTAAACAAAAAAAAAACATTTAACTTTTATGGATTTTTTTCCCAACTTTCATACACTGAACGATCTTTTCAACCTACAATCAGGAGCCTCATTTGGTGTAAATATAAGCCACTTTTACAAATTTATTCAACAAAAACCGCTCAATTTTGACAAATTTTTGTGCACGCCTACGCAAAAAGTCACTTGAGTTATCGATCTAACATTTTTACTACAGCTTCATCTAAAAGTAAAAGCGGACCATTTTTAGTTTTTTGTCATTCGGGTATAAAACGGCCGATTTAGAGTAGCAAAACTACAAGGTTAAAGGACGTGTAGATACATAAGTATAGATTAGGCCAAGCAAATTAGATTAGCAGTTTCTAGCTCAAATTTTTAAAACAATCATACGGGTGAACGGTTATTGTTAATTATTCATTGCCAATTTTACTAAATTTTATCAAATTATCCTAATTAAAGAGTATATAGCGTTGTGTCATATTAGCTTAAGCAATTAGTATAAATAATGATGCTTGATAAGGCTGTACCGACTGCATGCCACTGGTAACAAGAAACCATTAACCAAGATTCCATGGCGTTAGTTTAAAGGAAGCTATTAACATTGTTTTAGAGAGGAAAAATTACCACCATATATCTTAAAAAATCTGGTTGGTTCTGTAAAGGTCTGTTCCGAATAATAGGATTGTGATCATAAAGCTAACGTGGGTTACTATCGAGTGGCACTTTTATACTTGCTGTGGTTTGTTGGTGTATATTGACAAAAAATTCATGGTATCTAATATATAAAAAAAAAAAAAACCTTAAAAAAAAAAAAAAAA